GGAGCGCCAGGGGGCTTGTGGGGTGCGAGGGCGATGCCCCGCGGTGCTGACCGGTGGGTTTTCCCCCTTAGGTCGGCGGCAGGATAGCGGACAGGGTGTTCGACATCCCCAGGTAAGGCTCGCAGCTTGCTGGGTCGCGGTCGGAGGACGTGGCCCTCGGGAAGAAACGCCGGTTTGAGAGCGCCTTTCTCGCCGCTTTCTCTTAGCGGGAACCACGGCGGGGTGCTCGATGTGTTTACGTTGAAAAGACGTTGGGAAACGAGCTGACGAAACTTAATGTTGTGTAAAACTCGAAGTAGTTTAAGTCTTGATTACGTCTTGTGTTGCAAAACTTATCCTTTAGAACGTTTCCTCTTGCTTTGGATGTTGGCTCTGGAAGAGGTTACATAGCTCAACATTTAACCAAGGTACTGGCTTTTCATACATAAGAGTGTTTAAAATAAGCGTGTATTTATCCCTCTGCTTTCAAATAGGGCTCTGTTATAACTTATAACAATCCTTTGAATCTGACTGAGGTAGACCATTTTTTTGTCTCCTCGTATCTGTAGCTGTGGTCCGAAGACGTGTTGTGTGCCGGCTGTTACTCTGTATTTGTTGTCACTGAAGGCTAGACAGATAGCAGTGCAAGGGAAGCTGTCTGTTGTACGGCAGTTAACCTTTAGTCTGGAGTAGGGAGATGCTTGTCTTTCAGTCGATCTTTGTAGGACCTACTTAGTTGTTAAAGGGAAGTGTCATTATGGAGACTTCTAAACGGTGAACAGTTTACCCTTCGTGAGTAAAGGTGTTTCATTAGCTGTTAATCCATGGTTCATATTTGACTGAGCTTACACCTAAAAATGCAGGATGTGTTTTCTGTTATTACTTTTATCTCAGCTACTCTCCCTAGGAACGATTACAAAGTATTACGTTGGGGGGAAAATGCTTTCTGCTTTATATAAAGTTTTATCAAGTGTTAAAGATATTGCTTCCGACTTAATATATAAATATGTGCAAGCGTTCCAAAAAATGGCTAACGTCAGCTTACAAAGCAACGTAAATATTTGATAGACTTTTAAAATTTTATTTCAGGAAACAGTTGAAAAACTTATCCAAGTTGATATTGCAGAGAATGCTCTAGTAAGTAGTTTTCTGAATGCTAATGTGATTCAATTCCATAATTGGAATTCCACAGGAAAGCAAAAGAAGTGAGTCTCTGATGTTGTTTTTCTTCTAACCCAACATTAGAAAAATGCTGTAGAATCTGAAATCCCTACAGTCAATGTTGTAGCTGACGAGGAATTCCTTCCTTTCAAAGAAGATACATTTGATCTTGTTGTTAGTAGCTTAAGGTATGCCCTTATGTTTATTTGCATTTTATTTTTTTGGTTAGAGATGTTAAATAATGTCATTTGAGAGTAACTTTAAGAAAAAAAGAGAGAAAGATAAGTAGTTCATTAAACAGCAATAAGTCATGCTGTATGAAACGTACTTGCTTGTTTAGTATGTGTATACATTAGGAAAAACTGCTGTCCCCATGGTTCTTTTTTTTGTTTGTTTTCCTTCAAGACACATGTAGCTTCTCTCTTTCCTGCATTTTGACTAACTAGTTTCCAAGACTTGCATCTTCTCAGCTTCAAAAAAACCAACCAAACCCAAACCAAAAACCTATTTATATAAACTTTAGTTTTTATTCAGTGTCACTTTTAGGCAAGCATTTCAGAACTTTTGCAGCTTGAGAAACTAGTCTGTATCTTTGGCTTCTGAAATATACTTGGGTAATGTAAGAATTATTTGCATTCCCCAAATTTTATTTAATAGCCAATTACAAAATGTACACTTCTGTTATTTCAGTTTACATTGGGTGAATGACCTTCCTAGAGCTTTTAGAGAGGTAAGAAACCATTCATTAATACTATAAATCGACACTTGCTGTTACTTGCATTCGGAGCGGTCTGTATTTCCAGGTTTTCTTTAAATATGAGGCACGGAACTAGCTCATGTTGCACACAAGTATTTTTGGCAGTTTGAGGAGCATCAGTTCATATTTCTGCTAATTTACTGTCTCAGATCAATTTGGTATAAATAACTGTGAAACAACATGTTTGTATAATATTTTATAGTCTCAACGGCTGAGATCATGGTAATTAATGGAAACTGAGGCAATGCTATTGATTTCTATTGAGTGTCAGTTCTTATTACTTGTAGTACAAGAGTTTTCTAAATTAACTTCTCCAGAATTGGTTTATGGAACTTGTATTATTTTTATTTCTCAGCTATTTATTTTGAAATACAACTTTAATCAGATAAAGGTGTTTTGATTTTGAAATGAAACAAATAACTTGTTGAGGAGAGAAAACTGAAACTGTTACTGAAAAAGATCTGATTTTGGATTATTTCAGCTGCTTCCTGCAGATGAAAATTTTTTTCAAATCAGCTAACTTTGGAGCAAAAGCAAGGAATATTTTAACCAGTTTGCTATTTTTTCATTTATTTCAAATTGGTCAGTCATTACAGTGCTATTCTGTCATCTGTTGGTATGAATAGGAGTACCCTGCTGTTATGCAAATAATAAAAGCAGAAATTGGAATGCCTTCAGTACTTAAAAAAAAAATCTTGGAAAGAGATATATCATTTTCTCGCAAATTTTAGTGTTTTATGGAGTATCAAATATCTTTACCCAACAGTAAAAATAACTGACACATGCTAATGTCCCACAAAGGGGAGGAAACTGGGGTTTTTGGCCAGCTTTCGTTGTGAATGCTCATTTCCTACTTGGAGACCACCGGCTTCAACTAATGGAAACTGCCTTCAACTGCTTAAATGTCACTTAAAAGCTCTTTATTAGCAGAGGAAATGTAGTTTGATTAATACTTGATTAAAAAACAGTCTAGAAGAATCTTGTTTCAAATCAGTAAGGTAAACCATTTGAACCTTTTGCTGTCTTGTTAGCCTGATTATGTAATATGGCTCTTCAGGTATCTAAACCAGGGATCGCTGCTGATTTTTAAAGAAAATAGAAAGCGTGAAGTTATTGGCCTTCTTAGTAGGAAGCGGGGTAGGACTTAATAGGCAAGAAAGTACCTTGTCAACCTTGGCATTTGAGTCATGATGTTGCTCTTCTGGCTAGTTACAAATAAGTAGGGGTAGACCTAATTAGAATTGGATTGCTCTATTGTGCATTCAGAAGTGCAAGGAGTGCTACTGGAAACTAAGGCCTCCATTTCTCTTTAATCAAGCCATTAAAAAGTATTTTTGCTGCCCTCATCTGAAAAAGTAGTCGTAAGCAGAAGCTATGTTAATCTACCTTATTTTCAGAAGTAAATTAATCGAGGATACCGTTTTAGGAGTATCCCATTGAACATAGCTTTACCCTAGATTTCCATAGTGCATTTTGTCTTTCGTGACTGTAGGTGTATTTTCTGGGGATTCACTCTTTCTTAGGAACAAATAGTCTCATTTCAGACAGATTATTTATCTTGCAGTGTTACCAAACGCTTTGTTGCAGTTTGCCTGGTGGAATACAACCAATATTAATAATCTGCTACAACTATTATAATGATTGTGTTTAAGTTAATTAAAAAAAAAAAAGTCCTAAGAACTTCTTAGTTACATAGGCTTAATAGCAGAAAACTTTAATTTCCTTTTTTTTCTGTGTTGTAGATTCACCAAGTTCTTAAGCCAGATGGAGTATTCATTGGTGCAATGTTTGGGGGAGACACTCTGTATGAGCTTCGCTGCTCTTTGCAGCTAGCAGAATTGGAGAGAGAAGGGGGATTTTCTCCTCACGTATCACCGTTCACTGCTGTCTCTGATTTGGGACATCTGCTGTCGAGAGCTGGCTTTAACACCCTGACTGTGGTAATTATAAATAAGAGAACAATTGGATAGAACAATCCATTACATCAGCTGGTATATAAAAGAAATACTCTTTATGAATGTATTAGTAATGTAGTGCTTCCTTCTGCATGTCATGCACCTTGCTGAATAAGTTTCTGGAACAGCCTAGACTGCCTCTCTTGGCTTTACTGTGATTAATGAAACCAACTGAAGTGTATCTTTGGCTAGTGGCCCAGTAGAATTTGGATGGTCCTCTTGGCAAAATGTCAGAGAATGTTAGACCTGCTTGAAAAAACTTTAGACACTCTTGCTGTTTCTTCTCAACCAAGAAGAAAATAATGGCATTTCAATTAAAATTTGATTGCAGATGAGCTACTAAACAAAACTTGTAAGAAATTTTGAGACAGTGTATTCTTCTGAGAAATAATGCAGTTTGAACAGAAGTGGCAGATGAATAGTCTGTTAGCAGCTCTGGAGGCTAGCGTAATGTTACTGTTTTAGCTTGATACGCTCTAAAACTGAGCTTCTCAATTCTTTTAGGATACTGATGAAATTCAGGTCAACTACCCAGGGTTGTTTGAGGTTATGGAAGACTTGCAAGGCAAGTATATACTTTGTGGAAACATGTTTTTTATATCAGTAGTGCAAACACAGAAGAGTTTCACTGTGTGTTTCTTAACTCTAAATCATAGAATTACAGAATAGTTTGGGTTGGAAGGGAGCTTTAAAGGTCATCTAGTCCACCCCCCCTGCAATGAGCAGGGGCATCTTCAACTAGATCATGTTGCTCAGAGCCCCGTCCCACCTGACCTTGAATGTTTCCAGGGATGGGGCATTCACCACCTCTCTGGGCAGCCAGAGTTTCACCACCCTCTTTGCAAAAAAAATTCTTCTTAATATAAATAACTAAAGCTTATTGTAGCAGTGGAAGTTTTACTTTTTTCCTGATCTCTAGTGATTCAAGAGATCTTGCCTGTCAGCAGATTTGTGTCGGGAAGCAGAAGTCAAAGATTTGCTACTTCGTGGTCTGCTATGAATTTTCTGCTTCCTGTGTATTCCCGTTGTTTGTGAGCCAGTTCAGTGTAAGGTGCTGAAAAGGAGACAGAAGCATATACCTCAGATACTAACTTTTCCTGCGAGCTTCCCTAAATGTCAGGACATTCAGGAAACTGCTTTGGAATGAGAATAAATAGACCCTCTAATTGGAGTCTGCTGAGGAATGCAAAAAACAATTGAGATGCTTAACAAATGAGTTAGTATTCTGATTGCATTTGTCATGGATTGTAAAGTAGGCATTTATATGCAGTCACTTGTTACTACAGAGCAATTCAGGGCATCTTCTTACTCTGGATCAGCTGCTGAATGAAAATAAAACTTTCATTCTCTGCAGAAACATTCAGATGCAGTAAGTGATTAAAGAGATTAGAATTGTGGTTATTTTATTTCTTATTTAAAATCTCTTGGGATAGTCATTTTGATGCTTATCTGGTTATAAAAAAACCCAACATATGAGTGGTGTGACAGAATAAACAGTGTGCTTATGCTTAAAACAAATTCTACTAGAAAACCTAAATGTTTCAAGACTCGGGCTGAAGAAGTTATAACTTGAAATCATTCCTAGCAATACAAACTGTAAATTGCAAAGCATTTGCATGAAAAGGCTTGGATTCTTATAGGTACGAAACTTGCCTCAGTATTTGTGGTATGTTGTTCTCTCTTAAAGTAATATTCAGAGGATTCTATACTTACTCTGGTTTAATAAAAATCTGTTATTAGTGCATGACACTTAACTCATGGCATATGCTATATCTTCTTTTTCTTAAGCTAAAACATATTTTTAGGTATGGGGGAGAGTAATTGCTCTTGGAATAGAAAACCTCTGCTACACAGGGAAACAATGTTGGCAGCTGCTGCAATATACCGAGGTAAGTATTTGAGAGGTAATGAGTTAATCTGAAATTACTTTAAGAACATTTTTTCTATGTGTTTTTCTCTGACCTTTGTGGGGAAAAAAAAAAAAGGAATAGAACAAAACACCATTATTGTACAGATATTTTTAACCTTAATTACAATGACTGGATTTGAACTATGTTGATGCACCAGTATGAGATATTTTTGTTGTCCCAAATCTTTCACCAAGAGTCATTATGATGAATATGTCATATTTAGTTCTAATGTTCTGAGAACTCTTTCTTAGAACTGATGTCTCTGTACCTTTCTTTCCTCTCCTTTCCTGCCCTAACAGAAATGTACGGGAATAGTGATGGCTCAGTACCTGCCACATTTCAGATCTACTACATGATTGGCTGGAAATTCCATGAATCACAGGTAATGTGAAGCTGAACTATTTTCTGTTTGAAGGTACTCTTTAAATTACTGATCCTTTAAAAGCTTTTACAAAATATTTTAACTTAAAATTACCCCTATATATTTTTTTTCTTCCTTTTTTCTTAGGCAAGACCAGCCCAGAGAGGTTCTGCAACAGTTTCATTTGGAGATCTGGCGAAAATAGAGGGACTTCTTTCAAGACAAAAAAAATAGTTCTTCGTCAGAAATAATAGTTGTCTTGAAGCTTCTATAGAGCTTCTCATTGCAGATAGTCTTCACTTGTGCTTATTTTGTGATGACATTCTGAAACGATAATAATTTTCATGCGACAGGGTTTGGGGTTTTTTTTTTACTGGCCGTGCTACATCATTAGCTGTGTAAAATGGTGTTCATGTTTTGTTTCTAGAGAAATATGTCAGCAGTATTCTAAGTGAATACATGGTCTCCCAACTTTTGATTAAATTACTATTCTCAAATGTAATGCCTCTTCCAGTATTTCAGTGTCACAGACCGCTCCAGGTATGATTTGCAAGTCTTGAGCGTATATCATCCTGCATTGCTTTTGAATTATTCCTTAGGGATGGTGGATCGTAGTAAAGACTAGTACTTGGTGGCAAGTGTGTTTATAAGCCATACTATACAAGAAAATACCAGCAAATACACAGATCTAACTTAATGCATTTCTTGTGGGTTGCAAAGTATGTGTAAGAAGTTACTGTCAGCTATTGTTTGAAATTTGAATGTTTGACTTGTGCACAAGGAAGTGGTTAAGTAAGTTCTGTATTGTGAAAATATCTCAGGTTGCTACCTTTCACCTACAGCCCTCAAATTCAATTACTTCCACCCCCAAAGCTGGAATGTTTCTGGACATTAGAGTTTTGACATTAGAATGTTTCTGGCGGTAGAGCTCTGCCACAGGGAAAGTTGTCTGCTTCGTTATAAGAGGATGTATATATCATGATTTAACTTAATTTACTGAAAGGAGCAGCAAGCAGAAGAGTCACCTAACACTCAGATGGATGGGTATGTTTCAAATTAACTAGTTAGCTTAGAATTGGCATTCTCTGGAGCTGGTACTCTTGGCGTTCCAACACATTTTTTTAACCTGTTCTTTTATGTCATAGCATTTAAAACTACATCAAAACTGTTAAAATTATACTTGCACATTACTTTGTGTTTCTACTATCAGAGGCTGAAAAGCATGAAGTATACTTTTTTGTCTCCTTATCTGTGACACAGAGCTATGACTTTTCCTGTATATAACTGCATTACCAGAAATTTATATTTGTTACAAATATGATTTGCCCATAACCTAAGGTGTTTAGAAAAAAATCATCTACCCAGTGATTTCACTTGATTATAGTACTGATAGACAATGGTAGAGAGGAAAAGCATGTAGAATATATAATCAGGTTTACTGTTCAATCAGTTTTATCATTGTATCTAGGTGTATCAATACTGGTGAAACGAAAGCCTCTCTAGGCTTGTTATAAGAAGATTATCCAGCAGGTGGAGTTCGACAGGATGGTGTGGCACAGTCCAAATAGGCAAGGTAGGCAGAAGCCTTCATATTCTGTCAGGGATTATTGAATTATGATTCAAAGTCAGATACAGATATTAAAGTTACCTCCTGCTTAACCAATACTCAGTTTTCAAAATAACAGAAATGCTGTTCATCCAACATTCAGCTGACTAGAAGATCAATTTAAGGGTCTAATTTGAGGGGGTTCCTTAATTTACCAGGCTTAAAAAATGGCCAGAGAAGGTACAAAACATCCTGATAATAGTGGAAGGAATCTCCTGTCCTGCATTTGCTTACAAGCCTAATGCATTATTATTCAAGGAGAATTAGTTCATCTTCATTTTTGTTAGAGAAGAAGAGTAACCCTGGAAAAAAGGGGAGAGGCTGTAAGTGATCTGATAACCTGTATAACCCTTAATGTTAAGACTTAAGTCTAAAAGAAGAGCTTGTCTCTCTTAAATTAAGCCTTCATTTTTTTCTTACTACATCAATACAAGATGCTGCATGTCTCTACAGGTCATCTCTGTCTAAAAAAAATACACTTATTTAGAGGGGAAACTCTCTACTTTCCCAAATGTAGGTTTCTATGCAGTTATGTGTCAAATGACTGTGTGACTTTTTTGCTGTAGTAGGTTAATTTCCAGTTGCTTGAGCTGGTGGTTGTGACTCAGATGTGTTAAGGGAATGAGGAGGTGGAATGTGCTGGGTAAATGTTAATTGGAGAAGTGCTCCTACTGTGCTTGTTTGAAGCACTCGGTTAAGTTACGGAGAAAGGGAAGAATTTCTAGTTCTTTGAGTCCATATTCCGAAGATGGAATATATGAACAGTAAAATAGGTAAGATTTTTTTTTTTTTTTCTAATGGGAGAAGGTACCTTCTGGACAGGGAAAAATGGAAGAGTAATTTTCTTCCTCGCATTTGGAAGAAAAGAAAATACAGATATTCAATTAACTTAGGAAAGGGCTGGGGACTGGTAGAAATGGTGAGTAAAAAGTATGGCATTGGAGCAGCGTTGGTTGTAATTGCAGGGCATGCAACTGACAGGTAAGGGGTTCATTTCCCTGGCTGACTACATCTGAATAACTACCTTTTCTGTGTGTTTTTAATTCTTTTTTTTTTCTGTAGTATTTCTTCTTGGAATTCTAGGTTACTCTGGTTTCCTCTAGCCACTTTCTTTGTATGGCACTTGTATGAATAGATTTGAAAAAAGTTTGTTTGCTGTGAACAGATGTTTTTGGGACATAAAACATTGTATTCTGATTGTCTTTTTTTGATTTAAGTCTTTATGGATTTCTGAAATAGTAATGAAGAAGAATGTGGTTGCCAGTTGCTAGTCTAGAAATTATTTTAAACTCAAGTACCTGTTAAAAACCAGCTTTTGCAGGGTAGGTGACTTCTAAAAAGTAGTTGCTAAGGTGACATAATGTCTCTTGTAAGCTAAGTTTTAAAAATCCTGATGCATAATATAGAATGCTTTAATCTTGATTACAGAAGAAAGGAAAAAATTCCGGGAGATAATTATTTGGACAAATCAAAAGTTAGGAGCCCATAAATAACAAAAAAACAAATTTTAGAAGCAGCACACTTACATTTAATGACCACTAGTATTTTTGAGCCTCCAAAAGTTTCTGAGGGTCCGAGTCACGGATCAATGAGCATGCTTGTTCAGTGTCTTTGATTACAAGATCTGTCAGTGTACAGTTTTATCCAGGTCTGCTAAGGATATAGGGATGATAATGAGGCCCTACATTTTGTAACCCAAGCATTAGATTTTACAGTTCCTGTACTTTCAAAAGACTGAGAATTTGTGGAGTTAGAACAGGGGAAAGGATTCTTTATTACCTCTAATTTATAAAAATGTCATAAGCAGAATTTCAGAAGCCAACCATACAAAATTAAGTTTAACTGTGTTTTTTTACTCTGCTTGAAAAAGATAAATATGAATGAAACCTTTTTCCATGTTGTCTTTAAGTGAGCTAAACCAAAACTTTGTCGGTTGCCGGGGGGGAGAAACACACCGATCTTTCATACGGTGTTTAATTGGAATTTCCTGATGCAAAGATTTGATCTATTGGATTAGATTCCGTAGAGCATCTTGTTCAAGAAGCCACATTAAGAAAGCTCTCCTATATGTTAAACCTGTTAAATTTTCATTTGTCTAATCAAAGAACTTAATTATCCACTTTTCAAAGACATGATCTGTTTTGGTCCAGGTTTTGGAGCCAGTATTTTGGGGGAGTACAGTTATTATAGTAGCTTGATTGGAATCAGTCCGAGCACTGAAGCAAATGTGACCTGTATAGCTAGTTGGTTGACTTCCTGAATATCTTAGGTTCCCTCAGGTGAAGGAAAAGGAAAAAGAGAACAAAAAAAAAAGTAAAAGAAAGACTTGAGACAGTTTTAGCTGCAGGCTGCATATCAGTGTGAAGTAGAAAACACTGAAGAGAGTGCCTGTGCTTGTAGGGCAAAAAAATGCTTGGCTTAAGTTAGAATTAAAGTGGTTTGTTGATTTATTAATAGCTTGTAATTGTTAGTCCATGAGCTATACCTGCAGGATTAATAGCAGCAATATAGCATAAATGACTGTACTAGACCCTTACAAAACCTTAGTAAACACCGTCAGATATCTAAACACCCTTCTACATCAATTCCCCCACGAGTTTGCAGTTACATGCTCACCTCTACCCCTGTGACAGGAGGTTTGGATTATAAGAGTCCACCCTTCTAGGAGTACATCACCCTATTTAAACGTGTCTTCTTTGGAGACGTGGGTGCTGTAGCTGCATGCGTGCCTGTGCTCTTCCCTACACTCCACTAATCCACCCACCTGCTGGGATAGCACCCCAAAAGGTGATGTGCAGACACCCCATGAGCGGTCACTGCTTGTACCCTTTGCTGTCAGCCAGAATCCAGGCTACTCCTGGCTGCTGGGGAGGGTGCTCCCTCAGGCCTCAACAGAGCTTGAGATGCCAGGAAGGCATCTTCTTGGTGTCAGGCCAGGTTTTCACTGCTTCTCTCTTCTTGCTGTTAGGAATTTTAGTGTTTTTTATACTTGATCTTAAGCTGACTCTTTTCTCCCCCAACCAGTCTCTTGGTAACTGCCTGGTTAGTTTTTATTGTGGCTGATGGTTGTCTTCACTTTCAGCCTACCAGATTTTGAGCAATCGTTCTCTTGCTTTTTGGATATTCTGTTCAGACACATTGCACTCGTATTTCTATCTTAGCAGCTGAAGTTGTCCAGACTTTTTTTCCAAGAGGAGGCTATGTGGATTTCCCTATGATTTGGAGCTGGTCCTTGGGGTACAATGTACATTCATAAAGTAAGAGACAAAGTCCTTACCAGAAAAAATGATTCTATTTGGAACCTTAGGTTGGAGCAGTGATGATGAATAGTGGGGAATCTTATTTGGCCTTGAAGTGTTCATGATAGGCCGAAATGCATCACAATATAGTAGTTTTCTAATGATAATGTGTAAAATAAGGAGGCTTCATTTTTACCGTGCTAATGAATCCCAGTTCATGCATTTGGTTTTCTGCATTCTTGAGGAATTCCTTACAGTTTGTACAAGTAGAAGTGCAACTTGAAGTTGGGATATGCACATTTTGTGTGACTTCTGATCATTGATCTATTCTTTTAATACTGCACCCAGAGTTTGTGTCAATACACTAAGAAAATAAAGAATGAAACTAC